GGGGGTGAGGGGGGAGAAAGAGTAGAATCATTTTAAACATCATTATTTTGCTTAAAAGCAAAATAATGATGACTACAACAAGAGTACGAACTATAACGCTTGGTGTCATTAAGCTACCAAGATGTGATTGTTAATTCTCTCCTCTAGCAGTTTCACATTTCCTTGTAAAGTAGTTATGAGAATTTGGTACCAGATCAGCCGGAAGAACAATTTCTACCTAAAAAGTTTGTCATAAGTACATGTGTACTTCTACTACCTATTAGTTGGATAACGTATGGATATTATAGGGAGAAATTACATGTTAATCACTTCAAGGAGTTAAAGATTAAATCAGAGACTCTTTAAGAAGAGTTTGTCAGACACGTTTTATTTTTCAATCATTTGATAACGAAAAAAAAACGCCACTTTTTTTCTGTAACTAATACGTACAATACGTGACAAACTATGATGGACTAGCATGCATCCTCTCTTATGTGAACCGAATTGACTTCCTCTCCTATGGACTACTACTACGTCTTAAGTAAGAAGTTCTATCCAAATTCTCTACTAACATCCTTTCAAAAAAGCGTATGATAGTTGCAACCTTGATCATCAGCCGTGCTTGACCTCAACCACGGTCACGCTTCAGGCTTTGAAAAAGATCATCAGAGAGGCTAAAGCGCATGACAGTAATAGGATACCACTGATGTGGGTTGCTGAGCCAGCATTGCAGTCGTCACCGCTGCAGCAATTGATTTCACACTCGGACGATCCACTGGCGGCGTTACAGGTAGGGTTGGTTTTCTTATCACAGTAAGCATCGCTTCCGCACGTTTTGATGAACGATTGGACTGAGCCAAATTTATAATAAACCTTAACACATTTGTCAGCAGCGGGAGCCACGCAGGTCGTGCTTACTCCTTTGCATTTATCCCATGACTCGGTGCTGGTGCAAAAATAGCACTTCAAACTCCACACTGAAAAACATACGATAAGGAATAATTAAATAACAAATGGACGAGATAAAAATTTCTGCCGTCGATAACTGACCTTGTCTTTCCCGCAAAGGAAAGTAAATACAAGATTTGAAAATTTAAGTAAAGTTATTACATTTATTGTATATGCAAGGCTAAAAAGATTAAGAAAAATAATTAAAATGTTAAAACCAAACGTTTTCGGCTGTTTGCCATCATCAGGGTGGTTATTAAGCGAACATTATGGATATTATTACATTTATGAAGGGCACAATTTCAATATACTTTGATTCTTTTATATTTAAATAACCATCCTTGTTTACCCACTGAACGTCACTTTAATGTTTTTCTGCCCTTGAAAATTTCTTAGGAGTTTTAATTTTCAGGGATCATAATGCAACGCAAAGGAACTATATACCCTTTGGAACCTCTCTTCGCTTCCCCTTGAGATGAGGATGGGAGGGGGGCATTGAATATTGCATTTTTGTTGTCACAATACTTCTGAAAGCTTGGAAATAAAAACACTGCTTGATTTAAAAAGATCAGAAAATTAAGACGCCGTGTAGGATATATTAATTTAAGAACCTGTGCTCTGTGGAAACGTGTCAAAGTAATTGCACAATTTCGTTTGGAAAGGTGTGGACATACAGGAAAGAGCAAAATAACCTAAAATGGTTCCATAGCACTTCCCCGTGACTGAGGAATGTGGTCCCGTCCCCCATCCCAGCTAGGACCATTGGCAATCCAGTATTCTGTGTTTTCACTCACGTGACCATTTTCTTAGCAACCGTTGCTATCCGCCATATTGGTGGACAACCTACACGTATCTGTGAGCATAATACAAACGCGTCCGAGCAAATTCTATCGATTATATCTGATTTATATTACTATGGTTCTCTGTTTAACGGTCAATTGCCACTTTAGGAGTATTCGAGATAAAGGAATTTCTTTTTTTCGTGTTCCTACCGTCTTAAAAAACCAAGGAGAGACGGCAGAAGGGCTTTCAATCAAGAGAGGACGGAAATGGCTTGCCGCCATTAGCCGTGATGGGTTGACAGAAGAAATTCTATGTAATGGTAGAATTTGTAGCCGTCACTTCGTTACAGGAAAAGCAGCAGCTGCGTGGGACAACTTTAACATCGACTGGGTGCCTGCATTGAGTTTAGGACACAACAAATGGCCCATAAACGAACAAGAGAGCGAACTGCAAGCAGCACGAAGCGAACGAGCTAAGGCGCGAGGTAAAAGACGACATGAAATAGCGCTCCTTGAATCAGCTGCAAAGGTGTTATATAGATCTGGTATAGCTGAAATGTTTCTACTTTTCAGTATAAATTGATCGGCATATGGGAGTTTCAATGAAAGTGTCACAGGTTTTTTTGCGGTCTTGTTTATTTTATCGAAAAATGCGTTATTTCCCTTTCGGTAGGAGTAACGTTCGTAAACGGTGACTTTGACTTACTTGAAAATTTGTTTACAGAAACACCATCGATTCTATCATCCAATTCTTGTTTTAGCTTACTTGCTGACTTAAACTTTATGTCCTCAATAGCAGCGTATGTGACCTCATCTACATCATTCGGGATCAACCAAGTACGGCATTTGACTTGAGTGCACGACAACTTGCCACGAATGCGATTCCATGCCTCAATATAAAATAAAATACTCCCTACATGCGAACAACATTCGGAAAGTCCAGCTTTACAACCTAAACAATGAGCTAAAACAATCGTTGTTTCCATGTTGGCAATAATCCATATCAACAAAGGTGACTCATTCATTTGTTGTGAATGTCGCACCTTTCTGACCATGACAAACATCTTGCCGATAACTTTTCCCTGTACGCATGTAATAAATCCTCAAACCATTTGGTTGTAGCTCTCTAAACTTTTGAAAGCCTTGAACTGCTTTAATGTATAAAAGCTGGTCTCCAATACGAGATAAGACACAAGATCGGAAGCTTCGATCAGAGGGAGACTTTGTGAGGGCTTACTCTATTTTGCGAAACGAAACGAAATTGTACTATTTTGCGAAACGAAACGAAACGAAATTGTACAATTTTGCGAAACGAAACAAAACGAAATTTTGCGAAATGGCGTTTTTTCGCCTTTATTTAGCAAATATGTCCTCTTCGTCTGGAACAAAATGTGTCCACTAATAAAATGATCAAAATTTCTAAGAACCTGATCACCTCTCATTTTATTGACCATAATAGAACTCGTTTCGCAAAGTAGTAATTTTGCCAGAATTACTATTTTGCGAAATGGCGTTTTTTCACTTTTCTTTAGAAAATATGTCCTCTTCGTCCGAAACAAAATGTTTCCACTAATAAAATGATCAATATTTCTCAGAGCCTTGTCACCTCTGACGTTCCCGCAACAGGAAACAAGTATACAATCAGGCTAGTAAAATCCCAAATCGCATTCTCTCAGGAAGCACAGTGCCACAAAAAGCAGCAGATTTCACCAAATTAATTGCCAAGCTTTAAACTTCCGATTTTGTAAAAGATGTTTCACTTGGTCTGCGCCATGGAAAAGACACCACAGCAAACACGTTTGCAGCAAAAGAGTCGCATATTGAATGGTTAAAGACATTTTGTTCTGGAACCAATCCCAAATCGCAATGATTTCCCAAGTATTCTTTAATGAATTCTTGTGCCAGA